GTGTGGTGTTTTCCCGGCAACATCTGTCAAACTGTAATGGAGAAAACAGAATTTGAAAGCAATTCATTGGACGAACTTTATTGCACGATAATTGTACATGGTAAAACGTATAGAAACGACTATGGAAAAGACAGAAAAATATGGAATAATGTTAAAATCCTAACTATTAAAACAACAAGGGACAACATAAGTCTTTTATATAGTGTACAATCGAGTAGAGCTCAGCATGGGTTTTGTTATTTTTGAAATAACCATTCATATAATTATATAAGCAATAAGTTGTGTAAGTTATTGTATTTCAAGATATTTAAGCCTGTCTGTAACATCAAGTATCTTCAAATTCTTTGTACTTCCAATTTTTCGGAAATTTGAATGGTTTGCTAAACATATGCTTTGTTTCAATCCCTTGTTATGCATGTTTTGTAGCCTGTTGCCCCATGGGTTACAGTAAGGTGGGTGAGATGTGTTACAAGGCGTTCAACGACAAAGCAAACTTCGCTGAGTCAGCCCGGCGTTGCCGTAAAGAGCGCGGCACCCTCGCCAAGCCCCGAGACGCTGCAACAGACCGCTTCCTCATCTCCCTCAAGAACGCCGTGGACAGCCGAGCCCGTTTCTGGTTTGGTCTCCATGATCAGCGCAAAGAAGGAAGCTTTCAGTGGATGTATGGCACTGCACTGGAACATGGGAGCTACACCAACTGGGCTCCAGACCAACCAGACAACGAACGTAACGAGGATTGTGTTCACTACTTTTCCTCTACCGAACCCAGGGGGTGGCAAAACAATTGGAATGACGCAGACTGCAGCGAATTGTATGGCTACATATGTCTAGTGCCAGGTAAATAATAGGATCGCAATGCATTTCATGTCAAATCTTTCTATGCATTGTCTCACAATTCTAAAATCTTGTTTATAAAATCGCAACTATTGTTTTTTCTTTTTTTTTATTCCTTCACAGGACGCATGGAAAAGCGAGGCTGAACTTTCACCCTGGATGTTGACCAATGGCGACCGTGAAGTAACTCAAGAAGTTGTATGTAAACTATAACGGCTTATATATGGAATGTTGATGTTAGCAAGCCTTATCTATATGTTTATTTTGAGTCTAAGAGAATAATTATTGATGTATTTTTAATTTTTGATTGAAATAGCAAACATGCAACAAAAGTTTATCAGCCACACCGTGTTATGAAGCCATTGTACACCAAATTGTTTAAAGGCTTCCTTAACAAAAGGGAGCAGCCAGTAGTAATAATAAGAAGACTTTGCTTCAAGTAAAAGTATTGCCCGGGGTTCCACAAGGAAGAACATGGGGCTACTCTTGCAAATAACCAACCTTTTAGATCAGATTGATTCAAATATCAGTTTTCATCAGTTTTTAGCCGATAACTACCTTTTCTATATAGAGTGTTCTACACAGAATGACAACTGCTGTAAAAAAATCTGAACACCCCCAAAGGATAGCAAAAATGAATGACTAATAGACTTTAAGCCTGAAATTCCACAGTGTGCACAAAACAAACAATAGAAAATGAAATGTAACAGGTTTTATTGTAAGGCTTTAGCAACAACAAAATCACACTTGTATCTTGGCTTTGCATTTCACTGGTACTCGAAGTGGGACACGCATGTTAACAAAATGATAACTATCGGAAAACAGACAATGAGAATGATTAACCCATGGACATGCCCGACGAGGGTAAAATCACTTGCACACACGCCGCTTGTATATGTAAGACATAAATTAGAATATGTCGTGTTAGTATTTGATCCATATGTAAATTGAAAAACCAGGCAGTAAGCCTCTGTACGTGGTGTGGGTGTCAAGGAATGAAACAAACATTTAGTGGCTGTCATTGGAAGGCAGAAAAATGTCCAGACTTTGCATAATGTACAAAATGACAAACAATGGAGGAAGTACTAATTCTAAGTATCTATGTATTGAGCAAAGAAGGGAACGAGAATTAGGCATGCCTTCAAGTACCCGAGTACCAAGGACTTGGATCTATAAAAATGTGTATAATTATAATTTCCTAGAATTATCGTAGAGTGGAACTCACTGGCACCAAGTACAATTTAATAGCGCATGATCAATAGATGGCTTTAAACAACGCTTGTTATATGTACAGAGGCTGTGATTAGCAGTTTGTTGAGTGCATTATATTTCATGTCAGTTTATTTGATTTGAAACTTCAGACTGAATAGAGTGTAATACAACCAGGCTGCCCAACTTACCGTTGCGCATATATACTTAGTGTGATACTTACTTATTTTACATTGGTCAAGCTCCAATTTTAGTTCCACATACATATCACAAACAGAAATTATGAGCCGATTTGGCCAACCACCGTCTACTGGCCTCGTGAATGTGTCTGAAAGCAGTCGTAAACATTGAAACCAATTATGAATATTTACTAGCCCGGAAATGTGAATATAGAATGTTTCTGATACACTAGAAAGGAAGCATAAAGATGTAGTGCAGATCAATTTTAGTAACATTTACTGCAATTGTGTAACTCAAGTAAAAAGATTAAATATTAATTTGATGACAATTATGCCAATCAGAGTTTTATTTGTCTGAATATTGCAAACAAGTGTACATATCTGCTGCATTTTATGATAGGATTGGCCTATAATATATATAAATTATGCTGACGACCACATTAATAGTTAAATTATCAATAAGAAATTAAACATGTACTCTAATAGTACGTAAATGAAATATGCTAACGAAGACATTAATAATTCACATTATCAACGAGAAACTACTCTAATAGTAGTGCGTAAATGATCGCGAGCTCTGGGGGGGGGTCAAATGAGCCCCGTCCAACCCCCCCCCCCCGGTCCCACCAAGCCCAAAAAAGCCCGGTCTAGATAGGGTTAATCAATGGCAGAGAGAGTTCGGAAGCATGTTAGTTAGCAAATTAAAATCCTAAAATATTGGAAATGTGTTAACATATATGATGTCAAAGTGGCAGGTGATAAAAAGTCAATGTTTAGTTCACGTTACACTTTTCAAACCACACGTCAAAGATTCCTCTTCATTTCATAATGTCATGTTGATTTGACTCTATGGATGACATCCCCGCGCGCATGAATTTTCAACCGTTTCCATAAAAATACTGTAAATCGTACAAAACATTGCAAAATGAGCAAATGTATACCGTAAGTTGCTAAAACGAACCTGGTGAATATTGTAGGCTGGCGGTGCAGGTTGTCGCGTATTCATCATGTGTGAATATTCATCATCAGATTCAATGTTTACGTGATGCAATTTTGACGATTGCCTCCCGAAACAGACATATAGGGCTGTGAGGTAAATCTAGTTTTTGTATGCATTAGAATTGTTTTCTTCCGTTTTGCATTGCTTCTTATTCGAAGATTCATAGCCTGAGAAAACAATGCAAAGATAAAAGATGAAAACTGAAATTAAGAAAGTGTACCAAGGGATTGCCAGAACTAATGGAGGAGAGCTTATTAAAATTTGAGAAGTTTAGCTAAATTTTTGTCACGGCGTTTAAACTGGCCAAACATAGTTATGTCTTTGGGGTGTTTATTGGGTTTTTCGGATTTTTGAATGCAGCGACCGAAGTTTACACACACTGTCTAGCATTGGTCATTCACGACGGTAAATTTACGAAAACGTGTCACAGTGTTTGCCGCTTGTAACTCGGAAGGTGAACGGCTTGAGAACAGTGTGAATTGATTTCTTATTCAAGTGTATTCTCTACACAAATGTGTATACAAACAGCTGGTAAAAACACCCCCCCCCAGCGTCGTCTATGAGATTCAAGGTTGACCTTTGTCTCACCCACACAAATTAAATTCTTTATTCTACATGCTTTATTCTTGATCCTATATTGTGTATTCCTTACTCAGTCTGGAGGTTCTTGCCATGGGAACCCTTAGTCCTCCCGCATTCCTTAAGGACCTCCTTGTGCTCATCAGCCCCTTAACCAAGTCATGGAGGGGATGGTCTGGGTTCAGTATGACTTTAATTAGCTTTACGGCTGCCAGTTCTCGTGGTTCCCTGAGTGTGGGGAGCTTTAAGGTTGGATACCTATCGCCTTTTACCTGGAGAAATTAGTCTGCCATCTCCTGGAACAAATACCAAGAAAAAAAACAGACGGCGCTTGGTCTTCAAAATTTGTACATATTGATGATCACGTCGTCAGACTTCAAAATGATAGGGTAATATTTAATATTTAGAGAACTGTTGTTGTTTTAGAGTGTGAAACCGTCAGACGTCTGTACAGTAAAGATGTACAAGCAAGCAGAGCCTGTCGGGACTCCGCAAGCTGGGTCCGACAGGCAGCTCAAACCGCGGAGGCCCTACCGAAATTCTCCCGACCGCCGAGGTAACACAAGCGGACGTGTCAGTCGAAACAAACAGGCATGTCAGAAGTATCAAGAAGAAGACGACACGTCTTCAAACGTGTACGAAAAGGCTGAGGGAGTGAAACTGAAAAATTTCTCGGGAGACGCGATTCATGAAACCGGTACGTCTACAGGTACTGTTCTCAGGGCTGTTTTCACATACATTTTCCTTGTTTCCTGAATTTACTTATTAGATGTTTCCAGAGAATAGGGATGAATAAGGAAACTAAGAGAAAAGTTATACGACCTCATGCTTTCACAAATGATGTTAAACTTTGTGACTGAAGAATTATAGATTATTGCGGCTTTTAATGTAGCTGGAATCACACACGTGTCCGTTACGAGGATTAAGGTAATATATCTATAAGATAAAAGATTTACAGAAACAAAGTGCCAAGCAAATAAGACAACGCTTACAGTTAATAAAGTTGCCGTTATTAGAATACAGAGGGAATTTAGAAGGAAGAATTCATTCGCGATCGCGTGGATCTGCATTTTGATAAAGGAATGGCAAGATCTGTTATTTGAGATATTGTGAAACGTTTAGCATTAAAAGTTTTGTTCCATCACAGGATGGGATATTTTAATTGTTACAACAGCAGTACTTTTACAGCCATATCCAGTTATTAATAACTTGATGCTACTCAAATGACATTTTCGCCACGAAGGTTATGTTTTCGTAGGCGTTCGTATGTCTATATCATTTTTCTTTAACAATTTTCAAAGGGAATGGCTTTTAAATCTTTGTTGCTTTATATTATTTCATCTTTGGTCTATTCATCCAAATTTTGTCCGGTTTATTTTGTGTACAGTTTATCGTATATGACGACAAAAGTAGATAACATTAGAGCATAGCGTTTTAGACAAAGCAGCTAAAGAAATGCAGCTGTTGAGGGGAGGGACCAGCAAATCGCCATGCGCAGAACTAGCAGTGTGCATACCTACGATATATTTTGGGACTTATTTTTTTTAGATAGTTTTTTTTTTTTCAAAATTTGCTCAGAAAGGCCCAGTTTTCTAGTAAGAAGAACAAAAGAATGTATATTTTTAAAATATGCCCCAAAGTGTGACTTTTTCCATGGTTTGACCTGTCTTTGACCTCTAAATACTTGTTCTATGTGTGGACTGTCCCACTTTGCCAGGGGGTGAAATCCTGGTATCATTTCAATATTTTAGCTGTAGCTCATTAAAACCACGGAGTTGAACTTCCACTATTTGTACCAAAAGAAACCTGACAAATCCAGCTTTGCAATGGGGGTAAAGCTTGAGATTTGAGATAAAGGTAATTGTGTTTTAAAGTGCTTGTTTCTAGTGGCTTTAGACAATGGGATGTCCTTACGCTGGTCTCTTCCCTTGACCTTTTCAACAAATAAACGCTTTGAATCTACCCTTTGACATTATTTGTCAATGCAAGCCATTTCTGCATGTGGATGTGGATAACAGTTTGCGAATATCTCATTATCAATGCTGTTGTGAATTTATTTTTTATTTCTAAATTAGCTGACTATGATGCGACCATTGACAAAGCTGGCGGAGACGGAGTGAACATGTCAAGTCATGCACAGAAACTGTGGATGGCGTTCACGGTGGTCTTTGTGATCGTTGTTATGAACAGTATACTACTGACATACTTTGCAGGTCAGTCCTGTAATTGTTAAATGTTGGTAAGACTAAATGGATCCTATTCGGCACTAGTGGTAAACTGAAGGCTACACCACCTCTTAAGACCCAGATAGCACACGAAATTGTAGAGCAAGTGTATGAATGTAAATACTTGGGTGTTCTCCTTGACTGTAGGATCACTTGGAATGAACACATAGATATGTTCTAAAGTCTCCCAAAGAATAGGTTTGTTAAGGCGCCTTAGGTTTTGCTTAAATGCCAACATTGCTGCTAATACTTTGATTTTACCATTGTTTGGGACATTATAGGGACACTGTGTGGGATAACTGTAGCACCACCAAACAGAGATAAACAAATAAATAAATGAATAAATAAATTGATTGAAAATTTGTGATTATGATGTCTAAACTTTAGTTAGAATCAAATTATTACTACAAATAAAACGCATTCGACTTATTTGTTTTAATATGTAGTTAAGGTGACCACTCTTTCTGATGAAGTGGCTAAGCTTTCATCACAGGAAGGCAAATCAAGGCTACGTATGGGGCTTAAACGTAAGTACCAAATGCTGCTATCGTAACAATTCTGGATGTCGAGATTATGCACCTCTTGAAAAATTTTAAGCTAAATAAATTCTCATGGTTTACCTTGCGAAATTCTTAATATGTGACTTGAACTGATGATGACCATATATAAATAAAGGGATCTTACAATGTACTTTTATTAGGATAATGATATTTGATATACCATACAAAAGTACCTGTACTTTTTGCTGTGTCAATAAAGAATGTATATAATTATATCAGTTTATAGACTATAGATTAATTTATACTAGAATACACTTTGTCATATCGATGTCGAATCTCTCTTTAATAGCAGCTGCTGTGCCCCCAGTCTCGGGACCACCAGGCCCGCCAGGTCCCCCTGGACCTCCAGGGAAAATGGGGCCCATGGGGCCAGCTGGCCCTGTGTCTACCCGGCCTCCTGGACCTGGAAAACTGGGACCCATCGGCCCGGCTGGGTCTGTCGGACCACAAGGTAATGTGTGAATATTGTGAACATAGTTACTTATATCCAAAAACTTCTTAAAATATTATTTAATTGTTATTAAGCTGTACAGTGTGGTTATTACATCATATGCACATTTGTGATTACTCACTTTTATCATTTAAACCCTTTGATTCAAAGCTTAATCTTTCTAGACAAAGATGAGTATTATCAGAAACTGCCAGAAAAAGTAATTGTCAACACAATTGTATTTCACTAGGCTCTGAAAGGTTGGCCTACATAGCAATGTAGAGAATAGAATAAGAAGGCAACGTAAAAAATGCACTAATTATGATGCTAAAATCATTGTGATTTTGAAACAGTTAATGCAGAAAATGCAGTTAAAGAAAAAGTGGGAGAGATGGGCCCACCTGGACCTCCAGGAGAAATGGGACCTATAGGGCCTCCTGGGCCTGTAGGATCTCAGGGAGAACTGGGGCCCATGGGGCCTCCTGGGCCTGCCGGACCTCCGGGACCGAAGGGACCCAGGGAGATGGCTGCAGCATCAGGAGAATATTGGCCTCGGGGGCGAGGGCCACGAAGACAATATAGTCCAGGGATGAAAAAAGGTAAGGTGTTTAAGTTATGAATGAACAATAGTGTGCAGTCTAACTTATACCACCTACAACCGAGTCAGTACTGTTTAGCACAATTTCAAAATGAACATGACTATAGTCTGGTGTTGTATAATTGAGACCACTGACAATCGATGCAGAACTGTTTAGCATGACTGTAAAATGGATAAAAGATAATTAGTAAGCAAGAAGCTGACAAAAAAGGCACTAAAAGGGTGTTTACCCATATTGTGACCAAGTAGTCAAAAGTAGCTTAGAATTCAACCAAATTAACATTTGGCTGTGTAATTTGTGTCCTTACCTTCCCTATTACACTATTTCATCACTAAAATAATGTGATCCAAATTTAATTGAAAGAATAACATTTAACAGAAACTGCGAAAAAAAATCACTAATGATATTTTTTAAGAAATGTATTACGTTGCTTCCTAGTCCCTTAAGGAATGACTTAAACTGCAATGGAGAAAACAAAATTGGAAATCAATTCCTTGGACGAACTTTATTTTGGACGCACGGTAATTGTACATGGTACAACGTATAGAAACGACTATAAAACGCACACAAAAATATGGAACTTATTAATAATAAACTTAATAATAAAAGTTAAAAATCCTAACTATTTAACAACAAGGGATAGGAGAAGTCTTTAATATAGTGTACAATGGAGTAGAGCATGGGTTTCATTATTTTTCAAATAACTATATAATATAAGTTGTGTAAGTTATTGTATTTCAAGATATTTAAACCTGTCTGTAACATCAGTTATCTTTGTACTTGCATTGATTCCGGAAATTTGAATAGCTTGCTAAACATATGCTATGCCTCAATCCCTTGTTATGCATGTTTTGTAGCCTGTTGCCCCATGGGTTACAGTAAGGTGGGTGAGATGTGTTACAAGGCGTTCAACGACAAAGCAAACTTCGCTGAGTCAGTCCGGCGTTGCCGTCAAGAGGGCGGCACCCTCGCCATGCCCCGAGACGCTGCAACAGACCGCTTCCTCATCTCCCTCAAGAACGCCGTGGACAGCCGCTCCCGTTTCTGGTTTGGTCTCCATGATCAGCGCAAAGAAGGAAGCTTTCAGTGGATGGATGTCACTGCACTGAAACGCGGGAGCTACACCAATTGGGCTCCGCAACAACCAGACAACGAACGTAACGAGGATTGTGTTTACTACTTTTCCTCTACTGAACCCTGGGGTTGGCGAGACAATTGGAATGACGCAGACTGCAGCGAATTGTATGGCTACATATGTCTAGTGCCAGGTAATCAATAGAATCGCAATACATTGCATGCCATAATTGTCTATGCATTGTCACACAATTCTGAAATCTTGTTTATGAAATTGCAACGGTTGTTTTTTCTTTTCTTTTTTATTCCTTCACAGGACGTATGTCAACGCGAGGCTGAGCTTTCACCCTGGATGTTGACCTATTGCGACCATGAAGTAACTCAAGAAGTTGTAGGCAAGATATAACGGCTTAAATATGGAATATTAATGTTAGCAAGCTTTATCTGTATGTTTCTTTGAGTCTTAGAAGATGTATTTTCAAATTTTGCAAATAACCAATCTTTCAGATCAGCTTGACTTAAATGTCAGTTTTTAGCCGATAACTGCCTTTTCTATGGAAGGTGTTCTACACAGAATGACGTACAACTGTTGGAAAAATCTAAACACCCAAAGAATAACAAAACAAATGCCTCATAGACTTTATGTTCAGGCTTTAGCAATAGGCAAACCCCACTTGTATATGTAGGGCTTACATTTCTCTGGAACGTTTGGTTGGGCACTCATGTTAACAAAAAAGACAGCTAATACTAAAGAGACAATGAGAAAGATCAACCTGTGGACATGCCCAATGAGGGAAAGTCACTTGCATACACGCTTGTAATGTAAGACGAAACCTGATATATTGTATTGTATGTGTTGGGTACAGTATGAGCCGATTTGGCCAACCACCGTCTACTGGCTAATGTTTGTGTCTGAAAACAGTCGTAAACATTGAAACCAATTATGAATATTTACTACCCCAAAAAGGTGAATACGTGATGACCTGCTTGTAACGTTGGTCAGAATGTTTCTAACACACTATAGAAAGGAAGCATAAAGATGTCGTGCATATCAATTGTAGTAACATTTACTGGGAGTGTGTAACTCAAGCAAAGAGATTACATTGTTGGATGGCAATTATGAGAATCAGAGTCTTCTTTGTCTGAATATTGCATATCTGCTGCATTTCATGATAGGATTGGCCGAAATTAACGTATTTACCCACGAACGTAAAATAATATATATAAATTATGCTGACGAACACATTAATAATTGGATTATCAATGAGAAATTACACATGTACTCTAATAGTAGTGCGTAAAAGGATGGGGTTTTATACTCCCAACATTTGGTTTAACATCCCAAATATTGTTTTATGCTGTCTTATCATTCATTTTCTTGTATTCACTTTGTCTGTCACTGCGCAAGAGGTAAATAAGAGACCTGGAATGGCCTGGAAGTTTTCTTTAGAATATAATAAGACTTTGTTTTATTTAATAAATATACTTTGAAAGAATAAACAACGAATGCTCTAGAAATCTATTTGTTCCAAATACTTGGCTGTATATAACCATTAACAGTTACACAATTACAACAACAAATTAGAGATCTAATGCCTTCCTGAAATATTAAGACCTTACGTAATTTTTTTCAAATTTGTCTCATTAGGTATCAATGTAAGGTTTTAATTAGCACAATCCAATTTAGCTGATAGTTTTCTGAAGTCAGCTTACATATATGTTAGGTTTAATAGTTCTTGTTAAAGGATTCCTTTCAACATTTTATCATGAATCGTGCCAATAGTTTTCACAATTAGCACTTGTCAAGGTTAAAGTCCATTAGGAAAACAAAGATCATAAAAAGCTGTCATTACTTTGGCCTAAAATCATACAAAGCCTTTTTATACTTTTGCCTAAAGTCATGTAAAAACAAAAACAATTTGCTATACATTTCTGAAACAAGCTGCTAGGGAGACCAAAACTACACCGCGTTTTCCTTACATGACAAAAAAAAAAATTGGACTGGTTCCAGAAAAAAGTCTGCTGCACTACCAAGAACAACCAACAGGAGGCCAACATTCTGCTTTGACCCTTGTTTTTCCCAGTCTTACCAACATACCAAATATTATAAACATCCTCTCAGACCTTCTTAAGTTATGCAGAACACAAATATTCGGAAAAATATCTCCTTTTCTCTTCTTTTTTTCATGGAGGATAAAATACCTCATTTTTTTCATGCGTGTAATTAGTGAATTGCCTTGTATTCAGTTAAGAATTTCATCAGTTATTTTTTTTCAAATCTTGCTTAATTGGCCTTTTCAGATTTTCTTTTAATGATTGGGCTGCAACTCTTTCAGTTATGATGTCACCCGGCCCTGCTTGACATCGTGGATGTGAACTGCCACTTCCATATACCATGTATATGGAAGTGGCAGTGAAAGAATATCAGAAATTACCACCAATATAATAAAAGAAGGTTTATGCTTAAAATTACAATAATTACAATGCTCCAAGTTACTGTATAGGTGCCATGTCAAAAAAATGTGGTATGTTTTTATTGAGTACCTGGAACATACTGGCATATGTAGGGTGACAACGTATTGCAGTTTATGTCATTCCAGCCGGGCCACGAGTCGGTAGCTGGAAGGTAGTGTACGCAATGCTCGTTGTCGTGTTCGTTGTCTGGTTGTGCCCAAGCCCAGTTGGTGTAGCTTCCGAGTGCAGTGCCATCCATCCACTCAAACTTTCCTTCTGTGCGCTGATCATGAAGACCAAACCAGAAGAAGGATTTGTCGTTCACGGCGTTCTTGAGGGAGATGAGGAAGGCGTCTGTTGCAGCGTCTCGGGGCATGGCGAGGGTGCCGCCAGCTAGACGGCAACGCTGGGCAGATGTCGTGAAGTTTGCTGGGATGTTAAATGCCTTGTAGCACACCCCACGATGCGTTTTATAACCTCTGGGACAATATTCTGTAAAACATGTTCAGGAAGTAATATCTGAGAGCAATAAAGCATGTTTAACAACTTATTACACAGCTAAATCTAATTTGATAAATAAAAAACACAATAAAACTAATTATGGTCACGATATGTAGAGCAGATGTCTTTCATTCGGCTTAGGCGTACCTCGCTGTCCAATGGGACTTATCAACTTTCGAGGCCCAACTTTTCCTGCTGGTCCATCCATTCCCGTAGGAAGAGTTGGTCCCATGGGTCCCGGTTCTTTAGGTGGTCCGATAGACCCAGGACCAGCCGGCCCTATGGATCCCATTTTACCTAGATGAGCAAGTTGACCAGGGGTGCCAGCTCGACCCATGAGCCCCATTCCTCCTGGAGGCCCAGGTGACCCCATGGGTACAATTTTTCCTGGAGCCCCAGGAGGCCCGCCAGACACAGGGCCAGCTGACCCCATGGGTCTCTTTACTTCTGGAGGCCCAGGAGGCCCGGTAGACACAAGTCCAGCTAGCCCCATGGACCAATTTCCGCATGGAGCTCCAGTAGACCAGGTAAACACAGGTCCAGCTGACCCCATGGGTCCCTTTACTTCTGGAGGCCCAGGAGACACGGTAGACACAGGGCCAGCTGGCCCCATGGATCCCTGTTCTCCTGGTGGTCTGGTGGGACCAGGCGGGTCCGATGGTCCCATCACTCTAGACGAGGTAGTTGCCACACTCGCTAATAAAAGAAGATAGATAGAGCGTTTAGCTGTCAAATTAAATGAATTGTAACTTGCAGACTACAGATATTACTATTATTTGCACCTTTACTTATTACAATTAACTTACATAAAAAGTGGGATTCTGTGTAACTGGTATAATGGTATAATGAATTACATATTACACAACATGGGTTTAACCCTATCAAGACGTGTGATGAGCTGTGTTAATAATTAGCTACCTCTAATTTATTTTTCACTAGTAAGAGGATGAATAAATTTTCTTACTAATGAAAAATGAAATAACGCCCTTCTAACTCATGTCTCACTTGTAAGGGAATTAACAAAATATTCAAATTGTGAAAAAATTTAAAAAATAATCATTGAACCCATTTTTTACTAGCAACATAATTAATAAGCTCTCCTACATGTGAAATAATGAGATAACACATCTCAGCTTTTGCTACTAACACTTGCAACCTTGTACATGGTATCTCTCTTATGATATATACATTGACTTTATTCATAGAAAGACGCAAATCACAATACGATGTTCGGTATTAATGCCTTTAGATATCAATAACCAAACATAACAACCAGTAATACCGAATCTAACCTGCAATATATGCCGAGATTATAATGTTTGCCACGACGATGGCAAAGAGCACTGTACAGGCGATCCCCAGCTTGTTTACTTTATTTGATGTAGTCGGTCCACTGTCATCAGCCTCGTTGTCAGTATCCCCATCGTCGTCTGCTGGTTTGAAAAAAATATCAATTACTTAAAAGTTGATAAAAGTATCGCAAGGGCAAATGATCATAGTAAAAAACATTTTTGAAGGGGGGCGGGGGGGTTCTTCCCACTGGTTGAGGAAGCAGCGAGCGCCGAAGGCACGAGGTTCCTAGGGGGGTCCGGCATGCTCCCACGGGAAATTTAAAAAAAAAATGAACCTTCTGACATGGAATTTCCTGATTTTTTTAGAGGATTTCAAAGAAAAAAATCACAGATAACTTTTTTCAAGGACAAAGTGAGCAGTTTTCCTACTATTCCAGAATAAGTCCATCATTTAAAGAAATATCTTGGACCTTTAGATAAAAAGTGGACCTTTCAGCATTGTGGGGGGGGGGGGATACAGAAGTTGACCAATTATAGGGGCAGAAGATTGGCTGACTCTCTCCCCGGAAAACTTGGGGGCAAACGGGGGTAAACAGTCTCTCTGCGGCATAAAACTCGCGTCGCTCCAAGAAAAAAATGACGCCGCCCCACAAATCTGCGAAGGAGGCAAGGCAATGACGCCGCTTTCGTCATGCAAGTGCCACAAGTGTTGAATAACAATTTAAGATAAAGAAAATGGCGTATTTGTGGGCTCAAATATCTAAGTATGATGCTTCTTGTTGTCAACATTACACCTTTTGTTAGCTCTATAAAAGGTTGCACGCTGCATAAGCGGAACATGCCGATAAGTTGGTGAAAATGCACGACTCAATAAAACTGATTTAACACAAGGCAAATATGAACATAGTAACAGAATATAAAATGTAGGAGAATTGGGGACCCAAACCTAAACGAAATTTTAGGCACATTTGAAGATCATGACCATAGCGTTTCCAGAACCCTAGATACTTACTTTACTTTACTTTACTTTATATAACCCTAGATACAAAACGTTTAACCAAAAAATGCAATATTATAGTGAATCAATAATTTTTTTTCGGGGAGCGACGCGAGTTATGCCGCAGAGAGGTGGTTTTGCCGCCGTGGGCGTTGCAATGGTGGGGTGAGAGGCTTTCGCCATCCATGCCAAATGCCCTGAAATGTTTCAATAGCTCTTTCAGGACGTCGAATGCAAGCGGAGGCGGCGAAAATCTCTCTCCCCGGCAAACTCCCACGTCTCTCTGCGGACTGCATAATAACTCGCGTCGCTCCCCGAAAAAAAATAACACCGCCTC